AAAACCTCGAAAACCCTCTATAACGCATTTTACTTCATATTTTTGAAGGATATTTCAATTTCGATTCTGAATTAAGATTTAACTGTGATTTAAGAGTGACTTAAATCAGTTAAATCGTGTCGGTAGCCCCACGATATTTCAAATTAAAAAAATAAAGTTCGCACAGTTGAGTAACAGTCCGTGAATAATTAATAATTACTAAATTTTAATATTTTTAAATGAACTTGAATGATAAAAATCTGACGCTTTTCTGAGAAATCAGTCACGCGAACTTTTCAGATAATAAGATTTAAAACTATCCGCCTTTTAACAAATAAAGCTTTGTTGTGAAGCTTTTATAATTAAAAAATACTAATTATTTAATAGGCAATTGCAAATTGTACTTTTGCTAATTAGCAATCGCATTAATTACAATATTTGAATATTGTAATTAGCGATTATTAGAAGAAGGTCATTAATACATATGTACCGCTCTTATATCGCAAAGTTCTATTATCTTGTTGTCAACTTTCAGGTGCACAGCAAGTAACCGAGTCTCAAAATCGCACTCTAACAGCATATTTCTCAGAACTTCATCGTTTTATACGTTCCATGTAAAATGAACGGCATAATAATTTTTCATAATCATTTATAGTTATAAATATAATTTTGTTTATGCCGTACAGTATTTAATAACCCTTAGAGACACCTAAAACTTAATCAATATTTTTTTGCGCTGCAAAAAAGTATGTAAATAAAAATGTACGGCATACGTTTTTTTTTGTTTTTTAATCTTTGATAAACATAAAATAGCAAGAATAATTTTTAATATCACTTTTGTTATTAATAAATAGTACATTTAAAAATATTTAAATTTTTTAAAATTTATATTTTTTTTATTTTAATATATTTTCATGTTGTTCCATTTGTTATAAACGGCTACGTGGTAAAATGATAATATTTAATATAATTTTGTAAAAAAAATGATTGCCGTACAGTATCTTATGATTTATTGTAAGAAAATGATATTGCACCCCCAAATTTTGGTAATTATTTATTTATATTTATATGAACTAAATTTTTAATACGGCATTATTATTTAAAGCTATTTTAGAAGTTAAACAAGAGATTGAAATTAATGCCGTACATTTTCCGATGACTTTCCACAATAGAGGTCTAAAGCAGGGTTGCAACCCGAGTTTTCTCACTCTTGTACCAGCAGATATGTACGGCGTTGGTAAATTTTAAATGTAAAAATTACAGAAAGTAACTGTAAAAATTACATTTTTTTTTGGCTTCCGGCACTATTATACTAAGTGACATATAAATCCGAACACCCAGTTTAAATGGTTTTATTTTAATAAAATCTTTTATAAGTACTTAATGAAGGATAATAAGTAAATGATAAAAATTTCAAAATGATTGCACTGCTTTAAAGCCCTTTGACCTTTAATAATGTGTGGATGCACACATCAGAGATGTGCTACGCATTCTCCAACGCGCCTAGGCATGCTTCTTATCAGGTGGTCAATGTCCTCCTGTGGTATCTCATTCCAGGCAACCACCAACTCCTCTCGAAGTGCTTCTAGAGTCTGAGGAGGACGTTGCAAATTGAACAATCTCCTACCCATCAGATACCACACGTGCTCAATTGGGGACAAGTCGGGAGATCTTGGTGGCCATGGCAACAATGTTACATCATTATGTTGAAAGAAGTCTATTGTGACTCTTGCAACATGTGATCGGGCATTATCTTGTTGGAAAGTTGAATCTGCCAGGGTGTCAAGATAGGGTAAAAGATGGGGTTCTAGAACTTCTTGGATATAACGCTGCGCGTTCATGTTACCTCTGATGAAGATTAAAGGTGACCTGGAACCATAAGCTATAGCACCCCAAACCATAACTCCAACAGTGTGATGAACATGTCTTTCAACAAAAAACTATGGATTCCTCCTTTCACCACGTCGCCTTCTAACCCTGACACGACCATCGTGCATGCCTAAACAAAATCGAGACTCGTCACTAAAGACAATACTGTTCCATTCCTGATCCCAGAGTGACCATTGTCTGCACCACTCAAGGCGATTACGTCGGTGTTCTCGAGTTAAAGGGAGGACCCAGTGTGGCCGGTATGAAAGCAAGCCAAAACTTCTCATTCGTCGGTAAACACTTCGCATGCCAATACGTCTTCCGTGTTCTGCAAACCATTCATTTGCAATGGACCTGGTAGTGGAGAAACGGTCCCTTAAGGCCAATAATCTTAGGCGGCGATCTTCACGGTCTGTTGTTCTACGGCGGCGTCCAGTGCCTCTTGCTCTTTGCGTACGGCCTTCTCGAAGCCATGCCTGACAACACCTAACCACAGTGTCTACACTTCTTTGCACTCTAACTGCAATTGCTCGAAAAGAAAGTCCAGCTTCCCGAAGTCCCACTATACGGCCCCTATCAAACTCACTAAGTTGACGAAATCGTACAGGTCTCCGTACTTTAGGCATCGTAGCCGATCGTAAAGGATGTCAAGAACCAAAATCCGCCAACGTTGATTCTTTACTGCGGCTGAAATATTCATTTTTAGAGCGTTGGTGAATTAAAAAAAAGCAGTATAAAAACCGGAATGTCCAACTGATAAGGCTGAACATTTTTTCACTTGTTATTTACAGTAAGATAAATACATTCACCAACTTTTATTAAAATAAAACCATTTAAACTGGGTGTTCGGATTAATATGTCACTTAGTATATTTATGTACGGCACTAAATGCATCGTGATTATTTTGTTGGCATCTGTGATACTAAAGAAAGCCGTAAAAAATCATTTAGACTTTTCCGATCCCTTCTGGACAGAAAATTCAATTTTCCCCTGTACTTACATGTACCGCTCTCAAGTGACGGCATAGTGCTAGAAGTTATTTTTTCATGTAGTATTATCATTCACAAGACCCCCCCACAGCTCCCGGTCTAACTGTGTTGCCAAGCTTTCAATATGTTGATCCCATTTCAGATGCTTGTCAATAGGTATCCTTAAATATTTAATTTTGTCAGCTGATGTTATTTCAACATACTAGATGGTGATTTAACAGCAATATTTGTAAAAGGTGTAATAACGTACAACGCACAATAAAAAGCTTGTAAATAGTTACTGTAAGAGATGAAGATTGATGAGTGAGTAAAGAGCATGTAAACATTTATGAACTGGCAGGAATTTAATACTTACTACAATCTCTCGAGGTTGAGATTTTTTCAAGTCGGTGCGGAAACCTTCGCGAGCCTGACAATCCCCAACAAACACATTTTTATCTCATAATGCTTGTTTTATCAGATTATTTATTCAGCCAAATCAACAAACAAAATCGACAACGATACAGCTTTGATTTGGCAATAGTTGTAAAAGGTATGCCTGCTATCTTGTTTGAACTACTATTCATGAAAAACTGCTGTATATGTTAGTGGTAATCACGATAACAGTGCATGAGTTGTAAGGACGATCGGATAAAAATAAAATGTTATCGATAGACTCAAAGCTGGGCTGCCCAGCAGGCTCCGATATCGTTACAGTTCCCATAATGAGGGCCGACGGTGCCGTGACGGGCACTCTTACTATGCTTTGCTAATTGCCTGTTTTAATTACCTGGGTAGTATTTTAAATTTAAATCAAATTACTTCTCGCTGAGAGTGCATCTTTGATATTTTTTCTCAAGTACTTGGTAAATAAGTTACTTTGCGCCTTCTGGAATAGAAGTGACAACTACAGAATGAACAAACCATAACCGTATAACATTATCTGTCACTTGAAGCATGGCACAAAGTTACTTACTCCTCCCTGCTCTGCATCATAGCATTCTTATGATATCATACTCATATGCCATTAATGCAGTTAATAGCAACAACAAAAATAAGACCACCGAAGTTTAAATATAATATCACATAGCCCATACAATAGGAAGTCAACAGTAAGCAAACAGTCAATTCGTAAATTAAAGTATTCTGGAATATATATAATACTGTTTCTCCTTTATTGAGACAGACGCTTGACTAGCTAAACTCAAGAAACCGGCACACGATATTATGTGAAATATGGATATATAATATTATTAAAAGTCAATATAACGTCAACTTGTGTACTAAGTTGTCGCTATCCCATTCTGCGCCTGCTGTCTGTAAGCATTACGTATGAATAAAGGTCTCAACGACCATGTTGTCTTCGATGCTGCATCTCACGTTACCCTCCCTCTGAGGCAGTCGGATAGGTAGTGAACTGTCTTGTTTCAGTTTGACAATGTGCCTTTTTTTTGGCCATTCTTATTGTAAAATTTTCTACAAATACTGTAACTCTCATTCGCATAACTGTTTTGTCTTATAAACTAAGACCAATTAACACAAATTGCTCAAAGACGTTAGTTCCACAGGCTCCCGTACCTGTGTACCGATATTGCATTTGTGCTTGCGTTGCAGTTGCAGTTGTTACTCTGCCTTCCAAGCGGTCTAGGTATCTGAAGATAAGAGTTTCCCATATTTACTTAAGTCTGTTCATATATTCAGAGACTTGGTTAACTCATATGAAAGAACAGCCAAAAGTGGTGAGCGAGTATATTACAAAACGCTAAAAATGAAAAAAGTTCCGGTCCCAGTCGTAGGGCAGATCAAAAGTTTCTATGTTCCAATGTGACAAACGTTGTTGAGTTTATGACCACCATAAAACGCTGGAAGGGAATCAACTTTGTATTTATCTGGGAGGAAATGCTAATCTTTGGCTGCTTTTATAGCCGGTATATATTTTCAGGCGACAAACTTTGCTGTATTGGAGTATTGGAACTGATCAGCTCAGCTGCACAGCTCGTGCTGATTACTAAGAAATTGTAAATTGCTTTTTTATACACAGTGTCCCGAAAAAAACTCGAATATAATAATATCTACTTGCATACATGCATCTCAAGGGATATTTTTTTTTATTTTTTTATTTATTTAGCAACATCCAACAGCCACAGCCAATTACAGGATGGATAAACATGAAAATATAAACAAATGAATGTTGTGGATGTACTAGTATGTAGAGAAAGCTAAAACGCTGCAAAAAAAAACCTCAAAACAGAACTGGGAGAAAAAAAAAGCGTTCTAGCTTTACCTACCCAGCACTCAACAATCACACCGGCAAGCATTAACGAAAATAAGCATTAATATCTCCCAAAGTCGCACAAAACGAAAATATATCTAAACGCTATTAACTGAATTATAATTACGGCACATTATATATATAGGGGAAAACTTAAGTATGTCAGTCCTAGGCCTGGCTAAGTAAAAAGTTAAACTAGTTCGTGACGCTAATCTAGGAATTAAGAAGTTAAGTTGTTCTAAGATGACACTGGAGTCAATAATGCCGTGGATGAGCTTGTGAATGAACTTAAGTGAATTCATTTTGCGTCTGCTCTCTAAATTATAGATTTTGTGTCTCGCCATCAACTCACTATGAGGAAAGCCAATAGCGGGATATATCCCGTCAGCTTTGTATGAGAGGTATTTTAAAAACTTTCTTTGAACGGACTCTAAGCGGTCAATACATATTTGATGATGAGGATACCATACCACGGACGCATACTCAAGCTTAGATCTTACATAAGCATAGTACAGTATTTTCCGTGTAAAGGAGTTGTGGAAATCACCGGTATTTCTTACAATAAAACCATACGCCTTTGATGCAGCCACAACAGCATTTTCAATGTGATAGGAGAAGGAAAGTTTTCTGTCAAATGTGACTCCCAAGTCATTAATTGTACTAGGTCTGTCAAGTTTCCTGTCACCAATACTATATTCATACATCATTACCCCTGTTTTTAAAGTAAACGACAGAACGTGACACTTAGCAGCATTCAAAACAAGTCTGTTTTCACGACACCAGTTGTCAACCTTACAATGTTGCGTTGCAAGCGATGACAATCGTCAATGTTGGAGACTCTACAGAAAAGTTTCATATCGTCAGCATATATAAGAAAATCGACATCGATAACTTCAGAAATATCATTTATGAACATAATAAATAACAGAGGTCCCAAATTAGATCCTTGAGGAACACCGAATATTACAGGGTATTCGCTTGACTTATGTCCATTGCACATAACATATTGTTTCCTATGACATTAATAAGATCTGACAAATAGCAACAATGCATCTGAAAGACCAAATCTAGATAACTTATTGAGTAGAATATTATGGTCTAAACTATCAAACGCTTTAGAGAAATCAGTGTATATTACATCCGTTTGAAGTTGTCTATCGATTGATTCACAAACATATTGAGTAAGATGTAGCAAGTTAGTAACTGTGGACCTGCCCTTCATGAAACCGTGTTGACTGACGGAGATAGACCTGCTTACATGAAAATATAGCACAGTTTGTATCACTATTTCGAATGTTTTAGCGAAATTACTGATAATTGTGATAGCCCGATAGTTTTCTACATAATTCCTCTCACCTTTCTTAAAAACAGGAGTTACCCTGGACAACTTCCAAATAGATGGAAAGTGATTATTTTTCAGAGAGAGATTGAAAATGATATAAGCAACAGGTGTAATTCTAGGCAGTGTGCCATCTTGTATTGTGCAAGAGTAAGTAATATGCAACAAGTAAACAGTACCGGTAGGGAAACTGTCACAACTGGTACAGAACACAAGGTTGCTGGAGTCGGTAGTGCAAAGTCAAGAAAAAGGTGCAATAAGCCCAAGGGGCTGCAGTGCTGGTGGTGATTTTGCCTTGGCCTCATTCCGCAAAACGAGAAAGAAAGGGATCCAAGCTACCCCGAACACTTCATAGATTGATAAATGTAGAAGCCACAATTGTTTGAGACACTCAAAGCTTATCCTTGTTATAAAAGGAATACAAAACTATTTTATATTGATCTTCGCTATCACAGAGGCACCAAAATGTTTCTCTTTGAGTTGAGCTGATTAACACCTTTCAGATGAAAGCAGATTCCATTTAATTACACTACAACTAAAATTGTTGGAGGATATACTCACATTGATAATTTTTCTTTTATACTCGAGCCTCCACACGGGTCTAAAGGCTCAGATATTCGTGACTAACGTATGGCTTGAAGATGACACTGATGGAAGAAGGGGGGGGGGGGACGTGACATATACTCTACGAATGCATGGGACATGCATTCTGATCACAACATCCATAGTCTATAGAAAAATTCTCTTAGGACGGGATTCGAACTCGCGCAGCTCACGGCAAACAGATATGCGGACCACATTGTCTACCAATACGCCACCGCTCTGCTGATCAAAAACAACGGACAGACGCAACCTGACTGCAGCTTGCGGCTTGCAGTTGGCCACCAGCGGGCGAAAAGCGTCATCTATGAATGTTATTGTGACGGTTTCAGCTAAAATTCCGGTCCTATTTCCAAAAAATTGTTGATAATGAGATAAAGTATTTACGAGTATTTATAGAATTCTTGTGTTTCTTGGAGTGATTCTGTTCAAGCAGCAGTGTTGAAAATCTTTCAGAAGAGTTAAAGCAGTGTGAGAAGCAACCCAACTAACAATTATCACTCCTATTAGAGTTGCAAAAATGATTATACAGTATTCCCTACACAGCATTGTATACTGTAAGAACATTGGCAAAACCCTCTTACAACAGCTATACAAGCGGAATGGGCACACCTAATAGGACACTCAGTCATTTAAGAGGTTGTATAAGGGCTGCAGGTAACAGTTATAAAACAAAAGTGTAAGCCTCTTGCAGCCGCTATAGGACATTTGCGTCAGTGCAAGATTCAGCTTTTGTCAACTATACAACTATTCTCTTACGTGATTCTACTTTATTGCAACCAAACTATTTCCTATGTATTTTGTATAGACGAAGTGAAGAATATATAACTAACACATTACAGTCATCTTGTTTACTTACATATCGGCCATTGTGAATTTCATACACAGGTATATGATAAACTTCTACACTTTGATATAGGGCTATTGAATTACTTGCGCAGCAAATTTTATTGTGATTATCGTGCAAATTAGTTACCCAATTTCTACGGGCTACGTATTTGATTCATATTTGACAATGCTCAAAAGTATGATTTTTAAGATGGAAAACTGGACTTATCTGCGTTAAATCTTCCACAAATCCTATATTTAGACACAATTGCACTAATGTTTATCACTTTATATCTGTAATTTCGATCTGAAACATAATTATTTAATATTAAATAGAGGAATAAATGTTTGTCCAATATGGCGGGTGGTTGTGTACAATTATGGCATCGCCCATGTTGTCTTTAGGTTATTCGAATATGTTGGTGTTGCCTGCAGGTGTTATACAACAATTTGACAAATGTCTCAAATGAAATACCGACAGAGTCGAATGATTTAGCCAGAATTTGTACCAAATCTATATCTTCTGTTTGAACAGTTGATAAAACCTTTTGAACCGATATGCATGCGTTGTTTGTCTTAAACCATTGGTTATGGCATTTTAACAAAAATATGACAGCAGAAAGTTAGGTTATGGTGAAGTTGTTTACCAACATATTTAGCATATGTAACAGTTGAATAAGTGCTTCCGTTGGGAGCAATTTGTTGGCTAATGTAGTAAATTGCACAGCAAAGCAACAAGGCTCTGGTTTATTTTATAAACGTTAGCATGGGTGCCACAACACAACCATTTTGACTAACTTGCAAATATGCCGTATAAAATAGTTATATAAACGTTTATGGAACAGTTAAAATTTGCCCTATAAGGTGTTGTATAACTATGCTAAAGAATATTTTAAACACCTCACTTTTGAGCAAATATGTTGCAGAAGGCAGATTTGCATTCCACACAACATTAAGCCAGCATTTTGGTGTTCAGGCAACAACAATAGAGAGCTTTTATGACTGAATGGTTCTTTTACCAAAGGCTTATAGCACTACTTTGCTAGTTGGGAATTATGCAGTGTAACAGAAATCATACGATTCTACAAATATATTTGCATACAACACGTAGGTAATGGCAGTTTTTGTTAATCTGGCTAGATTTATTTACGAAAAACATCTCTTATACGATTTTAATTTTAATCAAGCATTTCGAGAACCAAAGTATTTCGTTTTCTTATTAGTAAGTACATACCTATATAGCAAGAAGTATTACACACTACCTCAAAACAAGGCTGCCAGTTGCTTGGCAATTATTACAATGTGAATGCAAGAACAACGCAGCTTAAGTCGATGCTACGTTAAAGTCAAGTTGCAGTCGAGTTGCTTTTGGTGAGAGCAATCTATTTTCACTTTTCTGGTTTGAACATTTGGGATAAAGTAAGCGTTTGAAACCTGTCAAGCAAAACTGTGTACCTTATTTTTTATTCTGTTTGCGTCAGCTCGGTCTAGATTTGAGTGACGAGATTACGACGACACTGAATTGTGAGCTTATAGAAAATAATCTCCTTTAAAGAGCGTATCAAATAAAAATGCGAGTTCACCCTTCCTACTCAGAAACTACCCAACTAACAATTATCACTCCTATTAGGGTTGCAAGAACGATTATACAGTATTCCTTACAAAGCATTGTATGTTGCAAGAGCATTGGTAAAACGCTCATAGAACAAGCGGGATGTACTTCTTCACCGCCATAAAGGGCTATTGAATGACTTGCGCAGCAAGTTTTGTTGTGACTATCCTACAAAGTAGCGACGCAGTTTCTTAGGTTTCGGATTTGATTCATATTTTAACAATGATATGTCTAGATTTTTAAGATAAATATTGAACTTGTCCTAATCTTCCACAAATCCTATATTTAGACACAATTACACCAACGCTTATCATTTTATATTTGTAATATCAGACTCAAACATAATTACTTGATTTTCAATAGAGGTATATATTTATTATTCAACATGGCGGGCGGTTATATGTAATCATAGCATCGCCCATATGTGTTTGGTTTATTAGAACATTTTGGTCTTATCTGCAGGTGTTATACAGCAGATGTCTGAGATGGAATACGCGCACAGAGTAAAAGGCTTTACTCAGAGTTTGTACCTGGCTTAGTGTTTGGAAAGTTGA